CAAGCGCTCTACCACTGAGCCACCTTCCCAGCCCCCCAGCCCTAGATTCTTATCTCCAATAAACTACTCAGAAAAAGCTGGACGTGGTGTTGTGGCTCAGGTGGTAGCGTGCTAGCCTTGAGTAAAAAAAACTCAGAAACAGCGCCCAGGCCGAGTTCAAGCCCCAGGACTGGCATCCACACAAAAGGATGACACAGGGAAAGTGGGGCAGGGAAAAAAGAACTAATTAGCATATACCAAGAGAACATGTATCTTCAATCTTCTCAGAAGTAGGCATCCTTACCACCCCACTTTACAGATGCAGAAAATGAGACCCAGGCAGCTTAGGAGACCAGTCCAAGATCCTAGGTAGCACCACAGGAGAACAGCATTGAGTCCAACTGTCTCTACCCAAGACCTCTGTTTTCTCATTTCCTGGGATCCCTTTCCTCCAAAAGTGGTTACCAGACTTCCCACTCATGGAGGGCCCATCAGCTTGTGTCCCCACTCTGCTCCCTCTATCACACTTCCCAGGTGGGGTCCACTCTCACCTGCAAGGGCACCCCAACACTGTTGGCCACCTCTCGGATCAGAGCCTCTGAGACTGCATTGGAGGCATAGCGCTGCTTGCTGTTCACCTTGATCACAGGGCCCTGGGGAGAGTCAAGGGAGGCAGCGATGATGGCAGGTGCAGTGGGAACAAGGTGGGGCCTAGAGTCAGCCAGACATTCAGATCTCTAAGGAGAAGGGAGTGTCTCACCTTGTGGAATAAAGGCCGGTGGTTCTCCTCATGCTTGTCTCTGAAAGAGATGATTAGGATCAGAATGGCATCCTCCACACCACCAGAGGCGTGCACTCTTCCCACCCAGGTCCTCAAGTCAGTTTACAAAAGCATTCCTGACAGCCTCTGGCAATATAGATGGTAACAAGTTTGTAGACAGAAGTCTATTCAACAGCCTGGGTTAGACAGTCAATGGCTTTTGACCAAGTCAGGCCCTGGAACAGTGAAAAGGAAGATCCACTGAGTCTCTTGGCAAGAGAGGAAAGGGAAGAGGCGGGGCCGGGGGGGGGGCGGGCCAGACTGAAGGTGGGTTCTTTTGGCATCTCCAGCTGTGAGGGCTGGGCCTGGCACAGGAGACTCACGGGTAGTTGGGGTGTATGGCGTGGGCCATGTCTGCGCTGATCATATAGGACTTGGGGATGGCTTCCTCAAAGGCGGTCAGGTGCTGTGACGAGGCGGAGATCCGTCGCAGCACCAGCTCCGTCAGCAGGGACTGGGCTCCCTGGGCACTCTCGGACCCCACCTGGGCACGGCAGAGACCTCGCTCAGGCCTGGGCTGGGAGGCTGGCATGATGGGCCGACTCCTCCTGAGCCACAGCGTGGGACGGGGAGCGTCCTTAGCAACCTCCCCAATCCTGGATCATTACAGCAGTGTGGGGTGTCCTTACTGGCCTATTTCTCTCTACACAAATTCCACACTTGAAGCTCAACAGAGATGTCTAAGCACACTGGATAATGGTCATTTCTTCCTTTTCTTTTTGGTGGTATTGTGGTTTGAACTCAGAGCCCTGCACTTGCCAGGGAAATGCTCTACCACTTGCAGTGTGCCTCTAGACCTTTTGACTTTCCTTATTTTCACACAGGGGGTTGATTTTTGTCCAGGCAAGCCTGGACAGTGATCCTTCTATTCATGCTCCCACGTAACTGAGGGGACAAGCAAATGCCACTGTATCTAGTTTTTTTAATTGACTTAGATGAGGTCTTTTTGTCCAGGCTAATCTCAAATTCTAATCCTCTCGATTCCAGTATCCTGAGTAGCTAAGATCCCATGCATGAGCCACCATGCTTGGCCCAATTTTCTTTAATACATGTGACAGAAACTGCTGTCTACATCTTTCATAACAGAATAATCAGGTTATAGCTAAGCACCAAACTATCCAGCTAAACCTAACTTTCCCAGCCTGCCTTGCAGCTAACTGTGGCCAAGCTAAGTTCTAAGCATATGAAAGTGATGAATTCTACTCTGGATCATCCCCATCCATTCCCACTCTCCCATCAACTGTCTTCCTGCTATGTGGGTGTAGGTATGATGGCCAGAGGTGGAACAACCAGGTTCCTAATGACAGAGACCCATCCTGAACTGCTAACTCTGACCTGGCTAGTCCATGAGAAAACTATCTACTTGTCAAGCTCTGTTACTGCAACTCAGACTACGGCCTACCACACCCCACACCACGCAGCACTGGGACCCACTGTGTGCTGAAGCCTGGGCAGCGTCCCTGGCCTTGAGAGGAGGAGCTGAGTCACACAGAAGGATACAGAAGATGGGTTCCACTGGAAGTAGCATATATATGCTGGGCCAGAAGGGGACATCAAATGCACGGGCAGCTCGCCCTGCCTGTCTTTAGGACATCCAGAATGGCCCTGGTCATGGTACTGCCCACAGAAGACGCTGCATACCTCTTCATTGTCGTAGAGTGTGATCATGCGCACGTGGGGTTCAGCGGCCAAGGAGGCAGGGGACACACAGGAATCAATTAAGGCCTGGAAAAGGAAGGGAATAAGCACATCACTCATATCTCTCTTCTTGCACAACTTAGCCTTCCAGTACCTAGGAGGGGCATGCCCCCACCCACATCTGTCCTAAAGGATGTGAAGAGGGCTGGACTTTCAGCAGCATCCTCTCTTAGGGCCCTTCCTCACAGAGGACATGGTGGGGACCTTCCAGCTCCCACACCTTCCCCTGCAAACGGCAGGAGGATGATATGAGAGGTGGAGAAGTCAAAAGACTTCACAGATCATGTAAACTGATGGGCCTCAATGAACATTAGCTCACTAGAACATTAGGAGACCATCATCTAGCTGACTCAGAAGTGGGATATAGGCCTTGGGTCTGGCTCTAGTCTCAGTTATTGTCCAAAACCTGTCTCTAGCCACGGGATTGGCAAGAGGAAATAAAGGCTAAAAAAGGCAAGGGAAGGGTAATAACAAGAGGAAAGGGAAAAAAAAGGTCCTGACCGGGATGATTAAGGTCTGAGGAGGAAGACAGGAAGAGAAGAGGAGGGGAAGGGAGAGGGAGAGGGAGAGGGAGAGGGAGTCCTGACTAGGATAGAAAGATGGGCCCAGGAACTGGTAGCTTATCCCTAAAATTATAGCTTCTCAGGAGACTGAGATCTAAGGATAGATGTTTGAAGCCCTCCTGGGCAGAATGGCTCCAATTAACCACCAGAAAGCTAGAAGTGGAGCTGTGGCTCAGAGGGCAAGCCTTGAGCAAAAACCTAAGGGATAGCATCATCCAGGTACTGATTTCAAGACCTAGTGGGGGGGGGGAGGGGAGAGGTGTGTGTGTATGTGACGGGACATGGAGGTGACTGCCCCACCAAGATTCAAGATCCCAAGGAAGAGAAAGAAGACTGTGTAGGCTTAAGCCAGGACAGGTGGGAGAAAAGCAGATGGGGAGAAAAGTAGACACTATTGCTGCCCGCCCCGCCCCCCTGCTCCCCACCCCTACCCCTCACCCCTGGGGCTTGAACTCAGGGAGCCACAGCTCCACTTCAGGTTTTCTGGTGGTTTATTGGAGATAAGATTTCCCTGCCCAGGCTGGCTTCCAACCTCAATCCTCAGATCTCAGCCTCAGTAGCTAGGCGTGAGCCACCAGTGCCTGCCAGGGGAAAGATAATACCTTGCAGGGTGGCTCAGCCTTTCCTTTGAGCCAGAGGTTGTTAGCTTAAGGAAAAGCAGCAGGAACAGGGTTAGGACAAGACACCATAGCATTCTGAATACTTGTCAGCTTTCTCCTACCTCAGCGCCTGGCCCCCAGCCAGGGGCAAAGTCAAAGAGCAAAGGTAGCTTGGTTAAAGGTTCAGCCTTGGTGCCCCTTCCAGTGGTCCATTCAATACCAGCAAACTGGGAGTGGTCATTTGTCCTCTCTCATCACCCCCTGGGACCATCCCATCCTATCCACCCACACCTCTAACCTCTCCTTACCTGCAGGGCACAGAAGCAGCTGTGCAGATTGTCCAGCCGAGGGGCAAAGATGAACTCATCATAGGCTCCACCCAGGACCTAGACAGGACAGGTAACTTAACTTTAGCATCCACCGCCAACTCACTTCCGGCTCCCAAAGACTTCAGTTGAACCAATGTCTGGTTTCTTGTGCAACTACTTCTTGACCCTTGGCCTAATGTACCATCTTTCTGCTGTGCAGACACAGCAGAGAATGGAGAGCGGGGTGGGGTTGCCAGGAAGAGGCCTGTAGCTCCTGACCTCTTCCAGTGAGACAGAAGAGGGAGAATTGAAGGGTACAAACAAGGAGCCCAAAAAAACACAAAGGTGACAAAAGAAAACTCAGTTGGCATTTAGTAGGGATTCGGGCAAGATAGGGGATCCAGAATCAGCAATCTCCTACTGTTAACAACTGGGAGGCAAAGCATAGCACCAACCAGGCTTATTGTCCTGAGGGGTTCAGAATCAGTGTGGGTCAAAGTAGACAAAGGATCGCCCATAGCAGAAACTCCTGCAGAATCCACAAAAAGGGCCAATTCCAGGCCCCAGGCCACAGACAGTCCCAGTCGGCATGTCTCAGAGAGGGAGGGAACTTGCCTACTTGGAACCACTGGGGGCACAGTGAATGATGTCGACCAGGAAGAAGAGGGATGACAGTCACTGAGGTGCGCTGGAGGGATGAGTGCATCAGGGGACAAGCTAGGGCCAGCTGGACTCCCTGAGGCCCCACCCACAAGTTGGGGAAACACCTGCAGCTGTTCCTCACCGCAGGTTGGGTGTCTGCCAGGCAGAGCTCCATCTCCAAGATGTCTTCAGGGCTCAGGCCCAAATGGGAGCAGAGCAGGGACATGAGGACGGAGTGGTGCCGTTCATCCTGCAGAGTAGAGGATGTTGGAAGGACCATCTGCTCCTCCTCTCTTTCCCCCATTCTCAGTAAACTGGTCTATTCCTCTTCTACCCACCTCCCCGGGAGTCGGGGACCCTCTTACAGCAGCATTGAAAGGCCCTGGCTCAGGACTCCCCTTCTCCAGCTCCTCCTGTACTGCTGTGGCAAGAATGGGGATTCTGTGGGGAGAAGCGTGAGAAGGCAGAATGGGGGGGAGGCTGGAAGGCAATTGGCGGGGGCAGGGTATCCACGAGCTCAGGAGTCTTTTGGTGGAGACTGCGCTTGCCCTTCAATTCCTAGCCCATTATCCAAATAGTAGAGCTTTAAGGCCCCTTGGGCGGAAGCTGGATCCCAAGAATAGAACTTGATTGTGGCCATTAAGCACTGGTTTCCTAGCCCCCTCTAGGGCCCCTTCTGCCACCTGGCACCATATCCCATCCCTCCCACCTTCCAGAGCCCCCTTCCCCAGTCTCACAGGTGCATCTCTGTGTTGGGCCCAAAGTTCTCATTGATATTTCGCTGCAGATGGATGGCTAGGTGTGGGATGCGCAGAATGGGCCTCTCCACATGCACCAGCCGCTGCTCCAGTCGACCTGAAGTGGGGCTCTGTGGTAGAATAGGCCAGGTGAGCTTAGGATACTTCCCAAACCTGACCAGGACTGCTCTGACTGCACCCAGACTAACCATTATCCTCTCTTCCCCATGGTCCTCTCCGTAAGTCCACTGAAGATGACACTGAATCTTCAAGCAACCCAGGGTGAGAAAGGACTCCCAACCCTGGTTCCCACCTTGATAATGACCCGTCCAGCCAGGGTCAGGTCACGGTCAAACCAGGTGCTCCAGATCCCACCACCATAGGTCTCTACACCGACCTGCTGGTAGCCCAACTGACTGCGGCGAGACCGGCGTTTCACCTGAGCATGAAGATAGAGAGGAAGTCAGAGATAGCTGAATGAGTGGTACTGGAGATGACACAAGAATGTGAAGGAGGGGTCACCAAAATTTGTACCTCCCCATTTTTGTCCCATAGCACCCCAACATCTCCCCTCAGCCCAGCAGAGCCTGGCTCCTTACCCGGAGGCATGGGCTGTCGGTGTGCGCCCCAATGAGGCTGAAGCCATTGCCAGGAACATACTGGCCCCCCACAGCGAAAGCGATCAGGGTAGAGGAGTTCCTGGTCAGGAAGTACTGTGTAAGGGATCAGAGGCATTAGTCTAAGTTGCTTAGTCAGCTGGCACACAGGCTTTTTTGAGACCCAGCTTAGGGATCCACCGATCAGCCCCCAACCCATCCCTAGTACCTTGCTCTGGGGTCTGATATCCCAGCTCTCTGTCTCCTTGAGTTCATGGAAGCCAGCCTGGAGGAGGCGGCTTCGGCACTCGGCTACAGCTGTAGGAAGAGGATCCCCTCGAAGCTACAGCAGTCGATGGCGGACACTCCCCCCTCCCTCCCTGGCCCCGGTCACTTACCGTGGAAAGGAGAGGGACTCCGGTTCACAAACCTGAGGAGCTCCCGGGCCGCGGCTTGCACCGCCTCTTTGCGGGCCCGGCCGTTCATAGCCACCTAGGGGAGGGGGGCGCTCAGACTCCTACCAGGTCTGGGGTCCCGTCCCCTCCTCCGATCTCACCCCGGAATTCCCCACCAACACACCCGGATCGGGGTCCCTCCAATCACCTCTCGGCGGAAAGCCTTAGCTTTCTGCCTACGGGTTACTACACACTTGAGCCTCCGGCTCGCTCCGGAGGGCCCGGCTTCCTAGGTCCCTCCCCCCCCGCCCCCCCCCCGCCGCCCACGTCCCTGGCCAGCCAGGAAGCGGCCTGCACCCGGCGCACCCGGCGCGCGAGGCCGCCGCAGCCCGGAACCCGAGGGAGACCTCGCCCCGCCCCCCTCCACCCCGGGACGGTCAGGTCACCCCGAGCGGGCCGCGGCGTCGCTTTGGATCGGGCGAACCCCCACCGCAGAGCGGCACTAAACCTACGTTCGAAAGGACGCCGGGCAGAGCCTGGGATCGAAGTCTTCGTAGCGCCCGCAGCAGCCACGTACCTTCTAGGGCCCCGAGGCCGCGAAGGCTCACGAGACCCGGGCTTCGGCCCGCCCCCCAGCGCTCCGCTCACCCCACCCCGCTCTGGCCGCGCCCCCGCCCCGCTGCCGGCTCCTCCCCTCGCCAGACCGCCTCCCGGGCCCGCCCCCGATGCGTCGCAAACTCCGCCCCCTTTCAGGCACGCCCACGACACGCCCCCGGAAGGCCGCGCCCAGGCGGCCCCTCCCACCACCACCCCCACGTCCCGCTCTCTTTCTGGCTGGACTTTCAGCTGAGCACGTAGCCAGCTCGGGCTGTCCGCCCCGCCCCCGATGCAACTTCCGCTCCGCCCCTCATCCACACGCCCCGCCCAGGTCCCAGGCTCTCGGTCCCGCCCCTTCAGCTCGGTCCACACTGCGGCTAGGGCCCTCTAGCGCCGGGGAGGTGTTAGGTCAGCCGCGAACCTCTTCTCCCAACTTCACAGTCCCAGTGGGTGCCAGCCAGTTAGTTCACTTGGTCCGAAGGGCGCACTCCCTTCGCATCACCCTCCTGGTAATAAAAGCAACGTGGCTAATGTTCATGGGATGAGCTTTAGATTTATGATTAACATATTTGCTTAATCTTTGCAACTGCCCTATAGACATTGTATGGACTAACTGAATACCAACACAAGCAACTTGTCCAAAGTGGCAAATGGCAAGGGTAGGATTTGGACTCCATCAGTTTATTTGCAGAGGCTCGAACAACTGATACAGGTTTCCCATGTCATTTCCTGGCCAAAAGGCCTGGATAAGCCTTGATAAGGGAGGTCTCAGATACAGAAACTAGTGCTCAAGAGCACATGGCTATTTGTATGAATCTAGATTTAACTCTAAAATCCATGCTCTTTCCACTTCTAAAATGACAGAAAAGGGGCTGGGAAGTTGGCTCAGTGGTAGAGCACTTGCCTTGCATGCCTGAGGCCCTGGGTTCGATTCCTCAGCACCACATAAGCAAAAAGAAAAAAGCCGGAAGTGGCGCTGTGGCTCAAGTGGTAGAGCGCTAGCCTTGAGCTGAGGGACAGCGCCCAGGCCCAGAGTTCAGGCCCCACGACCGGACCCAAAAAAATAAAAATAAAATGATAGAAAATAGCAATCTCCATATACTCTTGGAGATAAATCTAATATTTCCATTTCAAGAGTAGTGAAACCCAGGTACCTACCTACTATAGATACAGATCACGGGCTGTTGGTATAATCAACCATTGGTATAAACCAACCTTACAGGGATCACAGTCCGTGGGGCAACCTCCCATCAGTGTATTTTGGGTTGCAGAGATGTGGGGTAAGGAGAGGAGCCTGCCACTCTCATTTCAATAAGTAGATGTTGCAGGGGTGAGGTTGGGAGAGTGGATTAGAACATACTGTGGGTGATGAACTGAATTCACTGGGTTCCCTAAACACTTACTGAAATACTATTATATTCCCATTAATTGGTGCAATTGAATGGGTTTAAATAATTACAATTAAAATACCATTATATGTAAAATTCAGTGCTGAATGAACCATGGGAAAAACACTCTTGTCCTCTGAGATGCTAGAGGTTAGGTACTATGGCAGGGCCTCGCTCAAGGAGGACAGAGAGAAGAGCAGGAATGGGGATACAAGATACAGTCAGCCTCTGCAGATCAGTGAGTTCTGCATCCTTGAATTTAACTAACTGCAGATAAAAAATATTCAGGAAAAATGAAGGTCTGTATTGAACATGTACAGACATTTTTTCCCTTGTTCGTTCTCTAAACACTGGGGATTAACTATACAGCATTTAGTTTTAGGCATTATAAGAACTTGAAAGATAATTTAAAATAAGTGGGAGAATGAAAAAAGGTTATATGTAGACACGGTAACATTTTATGTAAGGAACATGAGGATGTCTCATATCTAGGTATCCACAGAAGTCATACCACCAAACCTCTGCAGATGCAGAGAGGACTGCATAAGGAAGGAGACGGACAGAAGAACTGTCAATGAGAGAGCATGCGAAGAACTGTCAATGAGAGAGCATGCGAAGAACTGTCAATGAGAGAGCATGCGAAGAACTGTCAATGAGAGAGCATGCTCAGGTAAGCAATTCACACACCACTAAAATGCATAACTTATGAAAGTAAATAGTTGATACATTGAGTCTCCATTCTTACTGATAGATTAAACACACACACACACACATACAATAGACAGGTACCAGTGACTCACACCTAACTACTGAGGAGGTTAAGATCTGAAGATCAAGGTATAGAGCCAACCCCTGGCAGTAAAGTCCATGAAACTCATCTCCAATTAACAAGCAAAAAGCTGGAAGTGGAGCTCTGGCTCAAGTAGTAGAGCAAACAAGCTCAGGAACAGTATCCAGGTTCTTAGTTCAAGTCCCAGAACTGGCACACACAGAGCACACAGAGTTACAGAGACATATAAATACACACACACACACATACACACACACACACACTTCTAGAAAGTCAAGAGCTGATGCTTAACCCTGTCATCCTAGCTACTTGTGAAGCTGACATCTGAGGATCACAGTTTGAAGCCAGCCTAGGCAGAAAAGTTCAAGACTTTTATCTCCAGTTAACAAAGAAAAAAAAGCCAAAAGTAGAGATGTGGTTCAAGTGGTAGGGTGCCAGCCTTGAAAGAGAAAGCTAAGTGAGAGCCCAAGGTCCTGAGTTCAAGTCTTAGTACCAACACACACAGACACACAGATACAGACATGCATGCGCATGTGCGCGTGCAAACACACACACACACACACACACACACACATCCTCTAGAGAACCAGAAAGAAAAAGGATAGAGAAGATACCTGTAAGAAGTCTCCAGCAAACATTAGTGAAAGGATCCAAAAGTGCCCTATTCAAATCCAAAGTAAGACAATGATAAACTATTCCTACTGGCAGCCATGTGGTCACAGGATAAGCAATTATATATGGGAAAATAAAATTGATTATTATTTTCAGATTATATGATTACTCAGAAACCCTAATAAAATAAGCTGTCAGAACTGATAGAAGAGGTGGCCTGGTTTTTTAAAAATGGCTTTCTTGAACAATAATCAACTAGAAAATATAAAAGAAAGTCCTATTTATAAGAACAAGAAATACTATTAAATTCTAAGACATAGACATGTGAGAGAATCAATCTTACTTTAACCAAGGAAATACAAGTTAAAAATGAGGTGCCTGCTTAGGAGAAGAACGGAAAGGGGGGAAGGGAATAAGACAGTGGAAATAGAGTGTTTGCAACAATAGAACAATAAAACCTATTGAAATTGTTTAGGGAAGGGAGGAAGGGGGAAAGGAGAGTGATCAGGGAGTGAGATTGATTGGAGAATATAGTAAATGTGTGGAAATATAATCCTGTGTGTGTGTTTGTGCACATGTGTGTGAGCACACGCATGTGTGCACTAGTACTAGGGTTTGAACTGAGGGCCTGGGTGCTGTCCCTGCGAGGTTTTTTTTTTTTTTTTTTGCTCAAGGATAATGCTCTGCCACTTGAGCCACAGCTCCATTTTCCACAATAAATTTTTTGAACCTTTATTATCTCTATAATATAGCTTATTTAATTTGAAGTCTATATAATTTAACTTTTTGTGTGTATGTACAGATACTGGAGCTTGAACTTATCCCTCTCACTGTCTGCTCGAGGCTGGCATTCTTCCACCTGAGTCATACCTCCACTTCCAGCTTTTTGCTGGTTTATTGGAGATATGAGTTTACTTTTCTGCCCAGTCTGGCTTCAAACTGTGATCCTTAGCTTTCTGATCACTATGATTACAGGTTTGAGCCACCTAGCTTACAATTTAATATTTTAATAATGGCCACGTTTTACAGGCTCACTAATTCCTAGGAATCTGACCATCCATTCTTCTGAATGGTCCAAGTTGGTTCCAATTCAGTTAGTACTCCACACGCACACTACATCTTTGCTACTAAAAGTATGACCTGTTTGAAACAAGTAGAGACCACCATAAAAGGTTGTTTTTAAAAAAAAAAAAAAAAAAGCATGTTAAAGCCGGGCACTGGTGGCTCATACCTGTAATCCTAGCTACTCAGGAGGCTGAGATCTGAGGATCGCGGTTCAAAGCCAGCCCAGGCAGGAGAGACCGTGAGACTCTTATCTCCAATAAACCACCGAAAACCGGAAGTGGTGCTGTAGCTCAAGTGGTAGAGTGCTCGCCTTGAACTGGAGAGCTGAGGGACCACGCCCAGGCCCAGAGTTCAAGCCCCACGACCGACAAAAAAAAAAAAAAAGCATGTTAACTCTGAGACCTTAAACTGTTATCCATTCACAACGCACTTTTAACAGCTTTATCATGAAAGAATGTTTATAGACTCGGAATCTCTTATGAGAGGCTAAGCTAAAACTAGAGGGGTTCAAGATGACCACACAAATGACAGACATTGGGGCTTGAACTCAGAGCCTGTGCACTGTCCTTTAGCTCTTTTACCCAAGGCTGATGCTCTGCCATTTGAACCACAGTTCTATTTCTAGCTTTTTACTGGTTA